CTGTGTGTGTGTGTGTGTGTGTGTGTGTGTGTGTGTGTGTGTGTGTGTGTGCTGTAATCTCCTGTGTAATAATGATGATTAATCTGTGTGTGTGTTTACCTGCTGACCGACAGAAAGGAGGATTAATCTATCTATAGATCTCCTCACGTCAACCTTCAGCTGCAAGTCTTCATCTTCCAGTCTGTACACATAGACAAATATAACAGTATACAAAATAAATCCAGAACGAGTTCTCCTGCGGCTTCGCTTTAGTTGAAAATATATAATCTTTGGCAAATAGGTGAATATGCAACTTTAACGCCAGAGCAATAATCCATTCTGCCTCCATTTATATGTCTTTTTTAAACAGCGTTGATTGATGAGTTTTTTTTAGAGAATAACAGGTTAAAGTAAAAACGTGTTTTTCCAACATGGTGCCATGATGTTAGAAGACACACAAAAAAGCAACCATGAAATCTAAAAATATATAAGAATATGCAAAAAAATACCCACAGCGAAAAACAAAGAGAACAAAAATGTACATATTTGTTTTTACTATATTTATATTTAATTATTTATTTTGCTGCGTGTTCGTTTGTTATGTTACATCTCTGGGTGCTAGCTATTTTTCAGATCTTTTAAAAGTTTTTATTATGCTTTAAAAATTGAAAATAAGCCTTTGGTTAAAGGGGGTTAATGACTCCTGTAGGTAAAGGCATGGTATATATAGCCAGGACATGGCCTGATGTACCTTTATCTGTAGATATTTAGTTAAATTCATTTTCTGTGTTTCACCTTTTGCAGAATAGTTTTATGTTTAATAAATAGTATTAATTTAGTTGAGTGTTTCCCATCTCTGCCTCTCTAATCTGGCTCTTTGCTGACTGAGAAGAAAACAGGCTTTCATGTGTGTCTGTGATTTGAGGAGGCGGGACTAAACTCACACCCAGGCCTCCTGATTGGCTGAAGGTGGGTGATGGCAGTTGGTGCTTACATATAGACCCTCACTGATCCAGCAACACTCAGCTTCCTCTGCTACAACTCAGGTGAGTCTCTCTGAAAAACACTTTTGACATATTTTAAGTTATTTGAATCCTGAAGATTTAGGATGAATATGTTTTTTTTTGTCTTGAGTGACAGATTTCTGCTTTTTCTCAAAATAAATATAATCAAATACTGACTTAAAAACAGGAACGACTCATTATTGAAATAATTATTAATCCACATTAAGGATCTTAATTCTACTGCAATTATAAATACATAGATTGGATGGCTTAAATGTGTATATTGTAAACACAATCACAATATTTAACATTTTAATAATAATACAAATAACACATTTATCCTCAATAAATGCTTCTGTCACATTATATTTATAGCATCATTTATAATACCTTAATCTGTTTGGCTGAAGTAATTGTTCATTTCTTTTCATTTTATATTGTAAAACACTTTTTAATATTCTTTTTTTGAACTAATGTTTGTTAAAAAACGTCCCAGTTTGTGATCACTGGTAATCTTGGGTCTGAGTTTTTTACAGGTTAACTCCGAAGAATACAAATAAGTAATGTAAAAGTAATGATCAGAAGATTAGAACTGGACTTTACTTATTTGTGTTTGTCCTAAATATATTGTATGTTGCAATGGAGGGACTAAGCTGCTCGTAGTGAGCACAATAAAAGCACAGAATGCTTGTCTCTTTCTTTTCCCCAGGCATCGCTCACCCTCTGCCCTCGATCAGCTCCAACATGAGCCCAAAGAATGTGGTTTTCAAGAAGATTTGCAGTGACAAGTCGGTCAGTGAAACATCTGAAATGTGTATTTATATAATCATCTGAATGAGGTTTGGGGAAGTACTTTTTCACCTAGAGGAATGTGTCTGGTAAAAACAGTGAGAGAGTAAAGCAGGTATACTGTACAACATGAAACATAAAGCATGTGGGCAATAAAAGTGATGAAAACAAGAACACAGGAACTGATTGATTGATAATCGTTAGATGGTAGTTCAGTCCCAAAGCCTATCCTCCAGTCCTGCTTCACGACCACAGTCTCATTAGCACAGCATCCTTCAACATTATATACAACTCCTTTTCCCCATAACTCTTCTGTCGCAAAGCAACACGTCTTTCCAGGACTTCTTTACCTTTCTTTTAAAACATACCCTTAATGGTGTTTGTTAAAGGAGATCTTCTGGAACTACAGTTTAATTTCTGCAGTTACAAACAAACAAAAGGCCCTCGATACATTACCTTTGAGCTGTTATACTCATGCTTGTTCGATAGTGAAGGATGTAGACTCCAGATCAGTTAATGTTGGCTCTGAGTGACGTTTTGCAGATCAGCTGCACATCTACGTGAGAAGAACTGAGTGTGGTTAAAGGCTTTTTGTCAGATTACAAACAACGTTGATCTCTAACTTCTGTTACTTCCCTCAGATGTTTACAGCACTAAAGTCATGCTGTTAGTGTGTGCAGATCATAGAGTCCTGGACCCGGAAATGTTGAGTACCCCCAAGTTTTATTTTAGAAATGTATAGAACGGGTCTCCGGCACATAGAAATCAGGGTTATTGAGGATGCTGAGTCCATTTCTGATCAAACATGGGAGTTTTAACCAGAAAGTAGCCATATTTGTTTTTTTAGGGGACTCTGGATCATCTGGATTGGACAGATTGCTTATTTATATGAAACTAACTTGTCCACAGTAGAGGTAATAAGGATCATCTTGTGCTCTCTGTATCCAATGGTCCCAACACTACTCATAGTGGTCAGAATCAGCCCAAACATGGACGAAACATTAAAACAGACATATTTGATCCTGAAATGTCAGAAATGGACTCAGCGCCCTCAATAACCTCCAAAACAGCCACGCCATTTGTTAAACCATTGTCTGCGTATGCCAAGGAATGCACCTTATGCTAATTGTACAAAGTGCCCAACATATGTAGATTGGCATCCGGCAGCTTCTATGTGCTGAGGACCCGCACTTTACATTTCTAACATAAAAATGTTGGTGTTAAGTTCTTCTCAAAAGAGGATGTTATTGACATACAGATTGTTCCAGTTCTTCAGTCAGTGGTTATATAACTGATTTATGAGGCTTAGTACTAAGTGATAGGGATCTGCCACACAATCCCTTAAAAACATTGAGTGTGTGATGGTCGAAAGATTGGGTTGTAAAAGATGGTTCAGTTTATTGTTGGATTCTTTGCTGTTTGTAAATACTTTTGCCGTTAATATGTGGTCCTTCTTTATCTCGTTAGGTCGGAGTCTACATGGGGAGAAGAGACTTTGTGGACCATGTGGATTCTGTGGATCCAGTGGGTGAGTTTCTCAATAACAACATCACTCATTCATCCGTCGTCAGGTTAAATCTGCCCCTCCATTTATATTCTAATATTACTAAAGCTATATATATTCAATGTTAGCTGCTCAGTGCCATGTCACAGTTAAATAAACCCCTTTTTATTCAGAGCATGTCTAACGGTAAAATGTAAACATACTGTTTGATTGTTCTTATTCAGTATCTATGCCGAAAATCTGGAATCACAATTAGGCTCTGATTGTGTTTTTTCTCATTATTATTTAAGTCTATTCTAGTCAGACACACTTTTGTGTACTGAGCACACACAATTTATTAAAAGCAAAGATAGTTTGGGTGTTTCTCAATGTCGAGGACGCTTCCTTGGTAGGACATGTCTTCCGAGTCAGGTCTTTCAGAAGCGAGGCAAGAATCCTTCCTGGCATTCGGAGAACGTTGAATGGAACAGGCTAGCAAGTGTGCTGGTGTGCATCAGATGAGAGGCCCCGCCTTACATTTTCAAGATTTTGGAAATTGGTCCGTGCGCAAAGCATTGTGGGGATTTTAAGATTGCGGAGGATACACATGTGCAGGTTCTTATTTTACATCCATGATGTGCAGCCTCGAAATGTCCCGCAACGAAGGACGCCGGCCTCGGTAGAATTCCAAGCATCCTGGATATTGGAACAGTCCTTCGGCGGCACTCGATGATGTAGCATCCTTGAAATAATGGCTCTGGAGCATCCTTCCTCGACATTGAGAAACACCCAACGTCTAGTAAATATCTACAAATATTATCTTTTTTTAAATCTTTATTCTCTCAATTTTTCTTATCTCTCAACCATTTGACATATAATGTGAAATGACTGAACCTGTAAATAACACTAATGAATATACCAGTGAAGTTTTCTGATTAATATCATGAAATCCAAGTGTTATTGTTTATAAAAACAGTAATGCATTTTATTTGTGTAGCACTTTGTGAACACAGTCACGGTGTAAGAAGTTGTGGGAAACATTTTGATTATCCATGTAACTACGTTTAAAAGTACTGCTCCATCTTTATCACCTCATGACCTTTGAATGTTTTCTACCACCAGATGGCGTCATCCTCATCGATCCTCAGGCTCTGCAGGGGAGGAAAGGTCAGTACCAAAACACAAGCAATAACACAGGAAGTAGATCTCAGGACAGGGTTCACACATATTCTAAAACCAAACAGAGTCCACTTCAGAGGTGTAAAGTAACTAAGTAGATTTACTCAAGTACAGTACTTAAGTACAAATTGAGGTATTTTACTTTACTTGAGTATTTCAATGTTTTGCTACTGTGTACTTCCACCCCTCTACAGTTCAGAGGTACATGGTGTACTTCTACTCACTCCATGTATGTAATCCCTTTAGTTACTTCACAGATGTGGATGAATGATGTGAAATCTAATCAAGTGTTAAATCAGACTTTAGTTCCACCTGGAGTAAATCCACAAGCTACCCTGCAGAATACAAAGTCATTCAAACTAGCTGCACCTTTACCAGCTTTGAGAACACTTTCATGATCAATCATTATAAAACATATCATATATATTATTCTGAAATGGACCAATCTGCACAATGACTACTTTTACTGTCGCTACTTTCACTATATTTTGATGATAATACTTTTCTACTTTTACTTGAGGAACATTTTGAATGCAGGACTTTTACTGTAACAGAGTATTCCTACACTCTGGTACTTCTAATTTTACTCAAGTACAAGATCTGAGTACTTCTACTTTTACTCAAGTACAAGATCTGAGTACTTCTACTTTTACTCAAGTACAAGATCTGAGTACTTCTACTTTTACTCAAGTACAAGATCTGAGTACTTCTACTTTTACTCAAGAACAAGACCTGAGTACTTCTACTTTTACTCAAGTCCAAGATTTTGAGTACTTCTACTTTT